AGAGGAGGCTGAAGGAGGGAAGCCATAGCTAGGGTGGACTTATTGTTGTTGTTGTTGTTGTTGTTGAGTTGAGTCAGCAGTAAGAGGGAACTTCGGATATTGATTCTGGTTCATCCATTCATTGTTATTATTATTATTGAGAGAAGAATAAGATTGGCAAAGTGAAGGAGTAGGAGGAAGGTGGAGAGAGAAGGGGGAATCGTCATTGGTCTTGCTGGTGTACATCTTCTTCTTCTTCTTCTTCTTCTTCTTCTTCTTCTTCTTCTTCCTTCTCTCTCCTCCGGTCTTTATCGCTTTGCAAGTGCTTTCATTTCTTTCGCAATAGGGTGGCATTGTCTTTCATTGTGAATTTGCACTTGGGAAATGACCAGGATCGTAACACAGGGTGGTTTCTTAATGTCATTTGTAGCTTGGTGCCCATGTGCTCAGCTGTTGACTGCCACAATTCGCTGGTAAATCTTACATCCCTATCACTCACTATCGACGTAGGGAGTCCAAAAGCGCGAACCTAGTTATCCAGAAACAGTTCGATGATATAGTCAGTTTTAGCAGTCTCTGGCATAGCGATAAGTCTTGCATACTTGGAAAAAAAGCGGTCCACTATAACGAAGATGTGTCTCTTGCCAGTCCTGCTGGTCACAAGATTATCCATGAAGTCCATGGACACACTTTGACCAGGACCTTCAGGAATCCGCAAGTGCTTGAGAAGCCCAAGCGGAGCCTAAGTCATAGGTTTGTCTCGTTGACAAACTTGGCAGGTTTCTACGTACCTCTTAGCATCTTGCATCATAGAAGGCCAACAAAATCTCTGCACTAAGTTAGCTGAAGTCTTTTTATAGCCGAAACGGCCAGTTGCATCAGGGTTGCATCCCTCCGACCGCCGACCCCGACCGCCGACCCCGACCGCCAACCGTATCGCAACCGACCAGTTGGGCCGACCGGTCGGCGGTCCGCCGACCAGTCAGATAACAGCCTTCCACTGATTTTTTTTTCAAATCTGAGTTTGGGCTTGTACTGCGATTGCTGAGTACAGCCCAAATCCGCTGAGAAACTTGGGTTGTGAACATTTTGTTCGGGCTCGGGTTGGCAGGGGGGGGTCGGGGTTCTGCTAAGGGTGTGTGGGCCCTGTGGGGTGGGTTGCCTGAGGGGCTGTTTGAGGGTTCTGAGGGGCTTGCTGGTATGGACCATTTTGCAGCATTTTGCTGCGTTTTGCAGCAGTGTTCGGGGGCAGGGTGTTTGGGTCAAGGCCCCAGGGCCGTTTGGGGGTTTGGGGGGGGGTGGGAAACACAGGAAGTTGAGCAAGAAGATGAACCAAGTCCGCAGAGGTGCACAATTCAATTGCAGAAAAGCATTACTTCAACAGGAAGATGAAGAAGAAGAAGAATATGAAGATGACGAAGAGGAGAAGAAGAAGACGAAGAAGAAGAAGACGAAGAAGAAGAAGAGGAACAAGAACAAGAGGAAGAAGAAGTGGAAGAAGTAGTGGAATAAGTCTCTCTCTCACACACACACACACACACACACACACACACACAATCAAATAAATATAATTTAGAATTTTGATAAAAATGAGGGACTGCTTCTTTGGTGGCATAAGCTGGGAAGGAATGCCCCCCCAAGATACAAGGTAAAGGGAGTTCACACACGCCCGCCTGATTGGATAAAGGGGCAAAGTATGGACAGTCTCTGATAATGTTTGTATGTTCGATCTCATTTCATATATTGCTACCATCCTATGATGAAAAGATTGGCTATGGGTGGATTTTTTTAAAGAAAAACAGTACCATCATCAATTATTTGAGTCCTACGGTAGATACCAGGACCACTCCAAGAATCCCATCTCCCGCAAAAATAAATCTGGGTGGTTCCTACCGTAAAAGACAGAGACTACCATGTGGACATAATTCCACATAAAAATAAAATAAGAATAAAAAGAAAAAAGAAAAAAGAAAAAAGAAATAAAGTAATACATACCGCCAAAACACAACCCAGAGTATGCTTCGCATCGGCTTCAAAAAAAAGTGCGTGGATGACAGCCACATTTGAAAAAGTCCTTTTTCTCACGGGTATTCAACAAAAAAGCATTGACGAACCCACTATTTAACACTTGAACCAGTAGGACTACACCTCTCCAACTCAAGGCATGGGAGGCGGATCTCAAGGGGTGGCGCTACCACTTACGATTCTCGCCCACACTTCGCTCATGATTGCCTTTGCGAAACTCATGTTCTGCGCTATGCTATTCTCGCCAGCTCTCAACTTATGCTTGCCTCGGCGCGAAGCATAGCAGCCTCAGCCTACTCGGAGAAAGAAGCACAGCACCTGCCTCGCCATCTTTTCGTTACTACCACTGTCCGCCGTATGCGCTCTCTCTCTCTCTGTCTCTTTTTCTCTCTCCCTCTCCCTCCCTCATGGTCTTCTTCATTCCTCTTCCTCCTCCTCTATCCCTCGTCCGCGTCAGTCTGCCCTCCTGTCGCTGCTAATATCGAAAGGAGCATCTCGATCTTTTGGTGACAAATCTGCACGTCTTCTATCTCAGTGAGATACGGACTTTGCGCCATGAGCGGAGTTCCCGGATCGTCATCTTCTCGCCCGACGGTAATATGAGCTCGACCTCAAGAAACCCCTCCCCCTCCCCCCTCTCGCTCTCTCTCCCACGGAGAAAACTCCTGTGTATTTAATCCCCTTCGAAGTGTAAACTAAGGGTATTTCTTCCCCTGATGAGCCAGCCGTTGTGAGGACTGGTGAAAAGGCCTTTGGGATTCCTCACTACACCCTACTGTTACACCAGCAATTGAGAGCTGCTTGGCCGAATTGGGATTTTCTTCTTCTTATCCTCCCTTTATCTTCTCTCTCTCCCCCATCCCACCCCCTTTTTTTTTCTAATAATTATCTTAAGAGTGTGTGATACTACCTAACTACGTTCCTCGATGTGAAATTATTTTTGTGTTGTTTGCATATTGTTTGTTTAAATAGGAACTTGTTGCTGTTTCGGGATTATGATGAGAAGCTGCTGATTAATGGAATCGGCCATTTTCGTTATCGGCATTGTTGTGGTGTGCTCGATATTATTTGGGTACTTGGCCTTCATCTCGCAGTTGGAGGACACTCATCTCAAAGCGCACTGTTCTCAACTTATCATCCAGTCTAACTGCTTGTGTAATACTGTGAATCGGGGAAGGTGCCTAGCGTAGATATGATGTGTTCGGTACTTCGGACTAGGCGTGGATCATCATGGCTAATCGTGATCTTATTCGTCATCTTGACAACCCTTCTGTTAGTTATGTTGTTGTTGGCGAGAGGGGATGGAGGCGAGGGGGGGATTTGTCGGGGGGACCCATGTGGAGACATAGGTATTAGTCCCATGGAATTGGCCATGCTGATATCTTATTTTGCTTTCTTAGCGGTAATCATAGCCCTTTTTGGCATCAGCGATGCGCAGGCTTATCGATTGTGCTTCTGTGATTCAGCATACTATTCTTCATCTGAATTTTCTCGATGAAATCTTTGGTACAGTCAATCCTTTATGGTGCAACCTGGGTCTTCACTTAATCCTGCACGTACGATTGCCTATTGTGCTCATACGGATCGGTGCATTTACTCCGGGGTCGCATCTTAGTGTACTTCCAGGTAGTGGGTAGATCTCGATGCCAGGGTGGATGTATACATCTCCTAAAAACGAATCATGCCTGGATACTTTGCTTCTGCTTATGTCGTGAGTAGGTGAGGGTAGCGAGATAATCATGAATCACATTGAGGTCATCAAATACCAGGGATCCCACACAACGGATTGACGCATGCCAATACATACTTCAGTTTTATAGAGCTCCGAGTTTTAATTTGGGATAATATGACCGAAAGTTTTTTTTAGTTGTGTCTCTCTCGTTTTTTCTTCTTCTCATCGGTGATCTTTTTCTAAAGCTTCCACCCTCTCTCTCGAAAATAACTCGCTGCTGTTTTTTGAGAAGGATTGAGTGACCTTTTGAAAGTGCTAGTCTAAGGATCTTCAGGTGATATACTTGAGCACACAGTCGTCGCTATAATTCCACTTACTCCTCACCTGCTCTAAAAACTTCCTAAGTCTCATTGGCATATCTCTTGCTCTCGCTCCCTCCCTCTCTATCCCTCTCGTTCCCCGTCTCTCTCTCTCTACTTCTCTCCCCAACTTTCTCCCCCTCTCCTCCTCCCTCCCCCTTTTGTTTTTGTTTTTGGATTGCCTAGAGCAGCTCTGGCTTGATCGTAACATTTGTAGGGCGTTATGGATGATCTTTTGAAACATGTGCAGGCAGATAGTTGATGTGCGTCTTGGGGATAAGAATTTGTCACAACCTTTGTTCCATCTTCGTTATGTGCCTTGTATCGGGATCGTATACCACAAAATGTGCTGATGATTTTTTTTGTTAAAGCTTCAATCGCATCAAACAGAGTTGTACGGCCCGCCATGCCTGTTCCCATGGAGGTTTCGTATCAATGCTACACACACACACACACACACACACACACACACACACACACACACACACACATGAACAACACCCTTTCATTCACTGCTGCTACTCGTGTCAGTTGACGACGATGTCGACCTCGATTGGGACGAAGAAGCGGAAGGCCAAGAGCTGTTGCTACTCGATTCGTCGTCCTCTTGCACATGTTTCCTCTTCTTCTGAGGGCCACGTTTCGGCGATCGATTGGCTGCCGCGGCCTTCTGTTGCACTCATTGAGCCTTCTTCCTTTTCGCCTGTCGAACAACAACACTCTTTTCTTCCAAGGTCTCAGGCGGCGTGACGGTCTTGCGTCCATTCCTTCTTCCGCCTCTCGTCTTCAGTGCCGCTGCCTCCTTTCCCTTGTTCTTCCCTCCCTTCTTTCTGCCAGCCAAACTCTTCACTTGGCGCACCTTGCTCTCGTCAATTTCAGGCGCTGACCCTGTTGCACGCCGTGCATTCATGTCATGTGGTGGGGTCGTTCCACCATCTGGGACTGGCGTGGTCCTCCGCTTGTAAACTTGGGTATGTGTGCCCTCCCCTGCGACCAGCCGAATGTCCTCGTCCAACCGAAGAGTGGGAGGGGTGGGTCCGGTGAATCTGGCCTAATCAGGGGTGTAAGACTCGTCATCAGTCTGCATTGGGGACGTTGAAGCCAGGTGCTTGCAAAAGTCTTGTGCAGAGCCACGCGGGGCAATAGGGGCTACGTGCGGCAACAGGGAGGCGAAACTCTCCTCCAATCGTAACTCCAGATCTGGAGTAAAGAACACATCGCAGCTCGCAATAGGACCATCGTCGATCCCTGTGTCTGCACCAACAGCACCATCGTCAACTGCACCAACAACACCATCCGTAGCAGTGGCACCGGCCGGATCATCCCCGTGCTCACCAACCGGATCATCCCCACGTGCATCAGCCACCGCATCAGCCTCCATCGGAGCAACACGAATCGGGCCGTCCATGTCTGCACCAACATACGCATCTGCCTCCAACGCATCATGGGGGACGTGCGGCGACCCACCGGGTGTGGTCCCATGAGTTGTGCCTGCCTCCTCGAGCATGGGTGGCCGATGACGGGTGAGTTGTGCTCCGGAGAGTGAAGCGGTCCCCTGCACCAAAGCTGCACCGCTTAATATGGAAGTCCGACGTCGTGAACGAATACCCTCCTCTGGCATCGTGATGTGGTCGCGCGGGGAGGAAGAAGATGAGCCACCTCCCGACCTCCTAGTCGAGCGCCTGTCAACGAGTTCCACTCGTGCCAACTCGTCATCATCCTTGTTGTCGTGGTCAGGCTCTTCGTCGTCAACATCAACAACGGTCTTCCCACGGTCATGATCCGCAAGACGGCGAGGGCGGCAAGAAAGATCAAGGAGCCATGCCCCGTCGTCCTCCCTCTCCTCCTCAAGCTCCCGAATGTCAAATTTGGTCGACTTCGATCTACAACCACGAGATTTGGACCAGTCCGCTGCCCTCCTCTTCACTTCCTTCGGGTCGTACTCCCTGTCTTTCATGAAACCATCATAAGGGGCCACGTCCTCCGGTGTCTCCCACTCCAGTCGCTCGGTGTTAACAAACCCGGTCTTCATCTTCGACATCTTCAGCAACTTCTTGTTCCAATGGATGAAGACGAGCATTTGCAAATTCTCTGGGCTCAATAGATTCCTCCTCTTTGTGTGAATGAGGTCGAAGGTGGACCAATTCCTTTCGCATAGAGAGGCGGTTGTCCACATGTTGAGCACGGCGACTGCAACCTTCTGCAACGACTTTGATTTTTCCCATATGTCAACCACCATCGCGCCGGTGAAACGTGAGTGCATGCCAAAGCCTCCTCTGTGTTCGGCCGAATCCACTCCGGAGTTTTGTGATGAAAACTTTCCAAGAACCTCCAGCACTCTTTGTATTCCTTCGGATTTTTGGTGTAAACCGCAACAAAGTGTGCCAGAGTGTTCATGATCTCTTCCGACTCCAAGTCGTCGAATAATCTAGGCGACCTGTGGAGTGGGTGCAACATCCATGCTGCTGCGTGCACAGGGAGAGCCATCATCCGCACACATTCCTTCACCTTTGTCATCACGATCGTCCTTGTCTCGCAATCCATGGGCAAAATATTCATCCTCTTCTCCAACGTGATCCCCAAAGACCACATCTGCATCCCCATCCTCCCGTCTCTGTCCATGTCCCTCATCAACGAATAAACTAGCTGAAGCAAAGTGCATGCCCGCTCGACGGTCAACCACCAACCCGGTGTCGGGCGCATCGGTCCGGCACCGCACGGGGGCAGCGCGGGACCCTCCCGGCCGCGTCACGCAGGAGTTGGTTTTCATAACCCTCCGTCGCAATATACATGGAGCTTCCGCAAGCCGCTCCGGCCGGGTGCGCCAGCCATACCTCTCGCGAGCCCCTACGACAGGATAGGGCCTACGCGAGGCACGACTTACCTACACCTTACGGGAGCTGTCACCTCCCTTCGGTGGGCGTATCCCCGCCGAGCTACCAGTCCACAGTACGAAAGCTAATCAGTTGCAATCGCAGAGGTGGACCAGCCGAGGGTGTTTCTCGTTCGCTGTAGCATAGGGGGTACGCGCGATAATACGCCTCTATCGGACCCGCACGCGAACCGACATCTTGAGGGGGTGAGGTCCTAAGCGCGACTCATCGTCGGTCGACTAGGACGCATCCCACACACCACGCGCACTCCAATTTACGAACACTCATACACATAAAACAACATATATACGAAACGACACAGTACCAACAACGCGACAACGCTCCTAGCCCCTCGGTAGTTGACCCATAACTTTCCAGTGCGGAAATCGGATAGGCGTCGCGCGCTGAACTTGGTATAAAACCACGCAGACGCAGGGCATACTCATATCGACTTGCAATGCAGGCGTACACAATCAGTCGCATCGATGGCGTACTATGTAGTGCCCATAATTAAGCGGTCCCTCGTGGATTCGAGTACCGCTTATGACACTCAAGTGTCAGACTTGAAGTGTCGTGAGGGTCTAACCTTTCACGACATTGCACGGCTGAAGGAATAGTCGTGCAGCCGCCGAGGCACCTCAGGCTCTCGACCTGAGTGTCACGGTAGGCAAATCAAATAGGCTCTTCGCGAGGGGAAAACCCCTCCCCTGCAGAGCCTAGGGCTTGGGACGTCCTGGACAAGGACCTCGAATCCCGGCCCGGGACCAAATGTCCGACTAAGAAAATCATCAAAAAGCAAGAGACAAGAATAAAAGGAGAGACCTCCCCTAAGCCCCTCAGTCTCAGYTTCTGAGTMGGGCTCTAATGTGGGGCTCTTTAATCTATGCAAACATTCATCCCAAGTATACCCATGTATACATATATAAGGGTTTAGTATGTGACGATCACTTTTCACGGTCTCACTCGGGTTTCTCACAATAATACRYATATGTGTGATCGTAGGCAACCAAATCCAGAATCTGCTTCACAACACATACATGCCATCACATCAACGAACCAAATCAACAGCCCACACACTACACGAAGTCAACCCCAACCACCTTCGACACTCATACCCCTYGCTTTAGCCATGCAAGCCCCAAACCTCCTGTCCAACCAACCTTAATTAAATACTCAGCACCTTTGTTAAATGGCCATTCAATAAAAGTCCGGGTGAAACCTTAATAAAACAACGAAATCACCAGGGCTAAAGCCTTTTAGGTTGAGTGTAGAGGGAGAGTTGAAATTGAGTCGTAGA